TTGACCTGAATCTAGATATCGATACTGCTATTCAGATATCAGTATCGATATCAAGATGGCAGATATTCAGAAATTAATCTATCTAGATAAAACGAGAAATGGTTGGCGGATTTCATCTGTATTAACCGGATCCGATTCAAACGAGCTTTGAAAAAATAAATCCCCTAAGAACTCTAGTCTCGTCGTCGTCCAATAGCACTGAGACATTGCCCCCAAACACGTCCAGCGCCGCTTTTCGTGACGCATGATGAGCATGTGTAAGCCCCTGCCGTAGTTTCCTCCCCACTCGCTGACTGGTCGTCCGTGTCATCCCTCGCCCTGCTAGGAGATCATGCAACCCCGTAAGTTATTTTTAGAATACCTCTCCGTCATACTGTGCAGTCGCGCCCAACTTTTCAGTAGCCTATGGGGCACCTATTGCGCGTGTTTTGACACAAGGAAATGTGTTCTTAGCTTTTCTAGTTTCGGAGCAGCAGCAGTAGCAAGGGTGCACTGATCGTGAGATCTTGTCGAGATTAATCCACTGGTATTTTCCATTTAGCTCCATCTTCATTTGTTTGGCGACGCCAGGGTGGGTTGTATCAGCCCCCTGTCAGCCCGTGTTATGAAAGACGGCGAATCAGAGCGAAGGTTAAGTAATGCACTGAAAGATCGTCATATCGAACAGAAGGACCGGCTACCAGACCATGCGTTTAGGCGTTGTGCGATAGCCTTCAGCCAGTGCTTTCAAACGCACGCAACCGCGCTCTCCGTACTCGATCACACACAGTAAGACACTGCTGAAGTTTCATCTCCATGCGCCGAGTGTCCAATCGCATCCTACACTGCGATGCAAGGGTAACATGTCCATCAAATAGGCACAGGCGACCAAGGGCGATGTTCGGCCGTCATGTGAGGTGGTGTTCAACCAGTGCTATCAAATAGATGTGGTGCCGTTCGCATCAATATAGGTTTTCAAAACGTGGCTGTGACTTGCTCCCCGCTCTCACAGGCATTCATCATCAACGCGCCGACCGGGGACACGAACAAACAAAAGTAGGCGCCAAGGACATGGAAACATCCCGCAAAGCCGAAGCGAAATTATAACACATGCCTTTTGGGACGACTTTGTGCAGCTGGTGTTTTCCAATTTATAATTTTTAGATGAACTAGCTTAGAGAAACTCATATTGATTTCAGAGGGCTGTAATGGGCAGAATTTAGGGACGGAGTAAATTGATGATGTGTACAAAATAGAAACGTTCAATTTTGGCACCTGTGTAACTTCACTCTATCACCTGACGTTGTGTGTACTTTCACATTTGGCCAGCTGACATTCCTCGGCTAACTTCTTTGGAAACAAGAAGCCAACGGAAAAATAAGGTTCATGATGATCATAATTCACTGATACAGGATTATATTTTGATCTTTGCAAAAAATAAAATAGCTTGATTGTAGCAAGCAGAATAACTAGATAAAATGGAAGCTCACAATCATATTAATTTTAAGGAAAGTTTTGGAGAAATATTTCACAAGTAACAGGAAGACGAAAGTCTAACCTGGGATTTTCTGATCAGTTAAGTACAGCTGTCTGAACTAATCACATTTAGAGTTCCCTGCCTCCATCACATTTACTTGCGTATTTTCTACTTGTTTTTGTTGTTTTCTTTGCTGCATGCCGCATGTTTTCAGCGTGACTGGGGGTCACAATAACCGACACGGGGGGCGTGCTTGAGGAAGATCACGGCTGTGACACGTTCAACGCGGGACACTAATGGGCAGACGAGCCAGATGGAGTAGGGAGCCAGATGGTGGGGAGACGAGCCAGATGGAATAGGGAGCCAGATGGAGTGGGGAGCCAGATGGTGGGGAGACGAGCCAGATGGAGTGGGGAGCCAGATGGTGCGCAGGCGAGCCAGATGGAGAGGCAACGAGGCACTGCGCGCAGGATCGGCGAGAAGTGGAGGTGACTGGGATGGCAGGTCTAGCACTTTAAACCACTACTCACTCTGCTAGCTGGATGCGTGCTATCAGAGCACGTGCTCGTGAGAAACAGTACTGTTACTGACAGCAGGTGCACAACTGAAAGCACACGAAAGTAACGGCGCGAAAAGGGGAGGGGTGGCTGTAAAAAGTATGATGGCCTTGACTTTTTCAGAGCTTAAATTGTTTAGAGCCGAAACATCGACGTAGAAAAAAGCTGTTGTTGTTCAGAAGTAAGTCGTTCAGTGCATTAGCGAGGAACATTATGCACATGGATAACAGTATAGTAAATTAACCCTATTCCTCGGAGAAAAACCAGGAGAATAGAGATATAGTCGGGATGATATTCCGGCAACATGCCTTTATCGATAAAGGCACGCTGCCGAAATATCAACCCAACCATGTCTCCATTGTCCTGTTTTTTTTTCTCCGAGTAATGAGGATGATACTACTGTCTTATTATGGGTTATACTACTGTTATATTATACTGCTGTTTTATTTTTACTACTATGTGGAAAAGCAGATGTCTTAATTTTTATTGGATGAGTATGACCATTGACTCCTTGTCTTCGATGATGAGACAGCGAGACAGTGTCATCATTGGACGGCATCATCACCTTTCACTCCTCTCACCTGGAGGCAACGCCTGATCTGGTGCCCAACATCAGACCCCAGGGGGCATGTGCCCTCAGTTCGCACTCCAGCAGTGCAATCTGTCTGCCCAAAAATAAAACGAAACAGAAACGAAAGTCAACTCGAGCATGACTTTCGCAACAAAGTCAAAATACGTAACATAAAAAGAGATTGTCTGATTCCACTGCGCATGTTTAGGCGCGCAAACACGTGTTTCGCTAGTCCGAGAATATCGCGTTACTCAATACTCCCATACGCTCTGCTCACCAGCAAGTGGTCTACGTTGAACGCCGTGGACTAGCTCAGTTGGAGGGGACTGAACGGGCTGGAGGAAATTTAAGAACCTATCTTTTGAATTAAGAGCAGACATCAGGGCTGGGACCTTGCTTCAGAGCTGGGATTAGTTGCTTTAGAACAGTTACAAGGGCGGGGAGAGACATCAGGGCTGATGTCAGGGTGGGGAACAGACACCAGGAAGCAGAGGTCGGGGTGGGGAACAGACTCCAGGGCTGAGGGATATACATCAGGGCTGGGAACAGACATTAGAAGATGGGAACAGATGCTACAGCGGGGGACAGATATCAGAGCTCGGGAACATACATCAAGAACGAGGAACAGACATTGATGCTGAGGAGCAGAAATCAGGGCTGATGAACGGACATCAAAGCAGGAAAAAGGCATCAGGACCTTGGAACAAACATTAAGGCTGGGGAAACAGACACCAGGACTGATAAACAGACACCAGGGCTGGGGGAACAGACATCAGGGCTAAGGAACAGACATTAGTGCTGGGGGAACAGAACTAGACCAGTCGATCTCGTCACCACAATGCTTCCCGCCTGAGCGGGCCAGTGCAGCCGCGATGTGGCGTGTCCGAAGTGCATTGTCATTATGTCTTGACATCAAGAGCGATGTCTGTGCGTGGAGATGAGAGCCACGCTGACGCCCTTGACACGCGGATCGCGCGTTGCTGGAAGTACGGTTACGCCGCAGCCTCAGCTGTAAGCAAACGCTTCTTTGCGTACTGTTTTCTCTGGAGAATACACCCAAGATCTGGGTCGAAGGTGGGCAGGTTCCTATGTCTGTCTGCCGAGTGTCGATCTCTCCACGTCTTCATGTTCTCGAGACTGACCGTTAGGTTTGGGCGGCACATCTAAAAACATGATCACGATCGTGTCAAAGGCGGAAAACATGCGCAAGATATCAGGCGTGTGCGTAAATGCGATTCGCCATACCATGAAGCCAAATGAAACAGCTGGAAATATTCTTCGCGGACACCACCGCAGCTTTGCCCATGAAAAGTTTATTCTCAGGCATCGTGCGCCGGCTGGGCACCTGAAATCGCTGGGGCTCGATCGCCGCACGCTGCTGCGATGCTTAATGCGTCGCAGAAGCGTAACGTAACTGCGTCCGTGCGTAGCTGTTCACCTGTGCGTGCATCTGTCATTTGCAGGCTGTTTCAGAACTTGTGTAAGACCTTTTGGAACACCGAGAGGAGCATAAATGTCTTTAATTTTTTGAACCCAATTTTCATCACACAGTACCGTAGAAACCACGCAATAAACGCATGTTTTTCTGTTGAGCACTTTATTCTCCGCCCCGCCGGTGCCAACGTCTCCCCTCGCCCATCGATGCACATGATTACGCGTCGGCCGCGGACGGCGCGGTTGCCATTCTCTGGACCCACGCCAGCCGCAAGCGCCTCGGTGATCTTCTGAGGTCAGGTCACGCCTCCCATCTCTGAGAACGCCACCTGGAAGAACACCAGTCGTCTGGGGGGGCTCTCCAGCCGGCCGGGGACGCTCTGTCAGTCCGCTGACTGGGGGCGTCAGCTCGAGGGGTACCAGTCGTCTGAGGGGTTCCCCGGCCGGTCGGAGATGCTCTGTCAGTCTGCTGACTGGGAGCGTCAGCTCGAAGAGCACCAGTCGTCTGAGGGGACGCTGTCAGTCTGCTGACTGACCGGCAGTCGCGCTCGTCCTCCAGCTAGGCTCGCGCTGCGACCGCCGTATAACACACGTGACTCGCTGGCCCGCTGGAGTTATCCTTACCAGTATTGTGGAGCATATGGCTTCCGATAGACAATGTTGGCGTTATATCCATCACAGCCTCCGAAACAAAAATTACCGTATCGCTCTTATCGCACCTTTCACTGTTCTCAGCCTTGTTGCGGTACTGTTAAAAGCAGTGAGTTGGTTCCAGTTTCGCTGTGAAAGCCTTCAAGAGATTGTGTGGACGCATGTGCCCATGCGTCATGACTCATCAAGCGACAAGAACGTCCCGGCAGCTTCCGTAGGCACACGTGACTGGAAACCGCACAGCTGCGGCCACGTGACGGGGTATAGAATAGTCAGCTCCGAGGATGTCGCGTAGTACGACCCAAGTTCGCCTACCCCGCATGACAACATACGCACACAATCACATTTATTCCGATGGCTAATGCCAAGGTAGCCGTTACAGGCGCTCGTTATCGATTCCATGACAATGCAAAACATGCAGGAGTTCAAACAAGCTCAAAAAGTCACGCGTTATTCGGGAAGCAGCTGGACTCTTCGCTAGAAATCAAAGCGAATACGGAAGGGCGCGCGACGGATCCTTACGGGTAAAAAATAAAGGACCCGCCTGCACGACGTCGATAACGACACACATTCCCGTTATATATTCAAAATCAACACACAACACGCGGTTCAAAACCAAGGAGTAAGCCGATTGCACTTAGCAAACAGAAACACATTCGCGGACCACGGCCTGCCTGCCGACGCCTGGCCAGTGCGACAGACAGTAACTGCGCCATCTGCCGGCTAGCAGACGTCACACCTCAGCGCAATAGGGCGGGGCCGTGTGACGCCTGCTGAGGGACAACCACGACAGAACTGGTTCAGCGCCACAGACGCTGGGGCCGACACAGTCCTCAGCTCGGTGTCAATGGCACGCCGTCCCATAGAACAGCACGGGCTGTAGCCTCCTGAACCGATCCAATGACGTCATGAGGTCGCGCGTCTGGGTCCCACTAGCTCCGATCCGTCCTTCGCTCGCCGGCGCCGTCATTCACCACACGGACCCGGGCAGGGCGCCGAGTGCCACACCGAATACGTGTCCAAAGCCACAGCCAGCAGCCTGCCGTTCCAGCTCCTGCTCCAAAGTCGAAGCCGCAGTCGGCCAGCACCAGCGGCGGCCGCTTCGGCTGGCTCCGTCTCTGCTCACCAGACCACCGGCGGCGTGCGACCCCACCGGAGCCCGCTGCTCCTGTAGCGAACGGCATCTGCCGGCTACCGTGGACTCGTCCAGCGCCCTCCGTGGACTCGTCCGCCGGCCACCGTTGACTTGTCCACCGGCCACCGCGGACTCGTCTACCGGCCATCGTGGACTCGTCCGCCAGCCACCATGGACTCGTTCGCCGGCCACCGTGAACTCGTCCACCGGCCACCATGGACTTGTCCGCCGACCACAGTGGACTCGTCCGCCGGCCACCATGGACTTGTCCACCGGCTACCTTGGACTCGTCCGCCGCCTTCAATGGACTCGTCAGCCGGCCACTGTGGACCCGTCCGCCGACCGCCGCAGGCTCCTCCAGCGGCCACCGTGGACTCGTCTGCCGCCCACCGTGGACCCGTCCGCTGTCAGCGGCGCCACGCTCAGAAGCTCAGCACCTGCGGCTTGGTCTCGCCAATGCACTTGCTGATGCTGCGCAGCAGGCGGACGAAGTTTGTGTCCTTGGGCTTCTCCAGGCCGCGGTTGGCGCGGGCTTTCATCACGGCCACGAACTCGCGGTTGCTCAGCTGACCGTCGTCTGGCGAGAGGTCAGAGGTCAGGTCAGGGGCAAGATACGGAGGTCGGGAGGCCCAGCGTACCGGGCCGATCAGATATCAGAGTTCAGAGAGACCGGATGCCATGTTTGACACGAAAACGAGCCTAGAACACCACACGCGTCAAAATGAACGCAGTATGAGTGATTTTTTATCAATCCATCCACAGCATTCTTCTACGATGCGGACCATTTTCCCACACATGCCAGCGTTCAACGACCGGGCGTGACATGCACACAATGTAATAACACAGACGCAGCACAGAGCCAGACGCGTCGTCCCTTCATTATCTCCATGGTGCCGGCCGGCTGCCGTTCCGCTCACTGTTGTCATCGAACAGTGTGAAGACGATGTCCACCACGTGGTCGGACAGGTCCACACGTGACACGGTCTTGGCCACGTGCTTCAGCGTCGCTGCAACATGCGGCCGGTCAGCAGCGGGCAGGGCACGTGTCACGCTTCACGCGACGCAGCACGCGGTACGGTACGGGCGTCGGCACGCCGCTGCGTGACCCTTTTCCCCCTCCCCCTCCCCCACAGCGAGGGTCGGCGCAGGGGCGTGCCGACAGTCGTCGAGAGCCGGCGCCAGACACACGCTGCCGGCGCTCAGTCCGCCATGCTCAGGGTGACCGAGCCGCCGGGGTGCACTCTGGGCGCGGCCGTGCCTCCATCGGCCGCAGCCCGACGAGCGCTGGTCACAGCCGCCCGGTCAGAGCGCAGGCCACAGCACCTCAGTCAGAGCGCTGGCCGAAGCGGCCCCACCAGGGCGCTGGCCACGGCCGCCCGGTCGGAGTGCTGGCCACAGCCACCCGGTCAGAGCGCTGGCCGAGGCGGCCCGACCAGAGCGCTGGCCGAAGCGGCCCCGCCAGAGCGCTGGCCGAGGCGACCGACGCGCTGACGGCGGTGAGCGTCACCTCCGAGCAGGCGTGCACGCGCCGACGGCACCACCGCCTAGCGGCAACCGCGTCGGCCAACCAACTCCCGTTGGCGCGTCGCACAGGGAAGGCCGCCGCCGCGACACATGAGGCGGCCTCCACTATTGGAGGAGGATCCGCGACCCAGTGGTGGCCGGGGCCTGTGTGGCGCACTGCTTCGCGAACCGCCGCGCCGACGCCGCGCGCTGGCGCGCGTCCGGCGCGGGGCCGGGGGAGGGGAGCGCTCACCCGGGTCGATGGAGGCGCCCGCGATGTGGTAGAACGTGAGCGCCGTGTCCACGTCGTGGATGCTGTTGAGCAGCTGGTAGAAGTTGAGGTAGTCGTTGACGGTAACGCCCACCGGGCTGTCCTGGGGGGCGGACGGCGGCGCACGGCGCCATCAGCCCAGCGTCACGCACGCACACCACTCTCGGCCATCGGCATGCAGCGTTTGTCAATAGCGGCGGTTGATCACCCTGAACATATGCCGGGATCATTTCGCTATTGTGATATCCTCAGGACATAACGGAAGACCAGTTCCGTTCAGCAAGTACTCCTTTTTCTGTGATGGCCGCCAGTCAGTTTCATCCATGCGTACCCTCCGAGCAATAAAAAAGTTATTGCCACGCCTTACCACCACCCACCGAACAGCGAAAACAAAACCAAAGTCACATATCAGCGCACGAGTCTAACCAACAGCTTTGCCGCCGCTGCTGTGCGCACTAGTGCACAACTCACGCCACAGGCGATTCACCCCGCCCCCCCCCCCGCCCCCACCCCCACCCCTTCCTCCTCCTCCCACCACGGTAACCTGCCTTGAACTTGCGTTTGACGCGGCGGAGCATCTTGAGCTTGCGGTTGGGCGGGTAGCCGCCGTAGGCCAGCAGCAAATCTGCGAAGTCCACCTCGCGCAGCCGACCGTGCTCGTCCGGAGTCTTGCGTCGAAACTGGCGGCGAAACCGGTCAACAGTGCGCCCTCCCCTCCCCTTCCCTTCCCTTCCCTTCCCGTGTTCCGTGCACACAATGTTTTGGACAGTTGGTCACCGGCCCGCTGTCCGATAATCAATATCATAAAGCCAACGCACCCAACTTCGCTTGAAGCCGAAGTCAGAGTTTTAGTTCAAAAGTTGTTCGAAGTCGAAACCAAAGCCGAACCCATGTATGGAAGAAAATGGTACGAGCCCGAAGCAGGGACGACACTGGAGGAAATTGCGGCTTTGCGAAGCCGCAGCCGGCTTTGTTCCCATGCCTGATGTATTCATACACACACCACCATGGCGATAACCAATACCCAGAGAGACTAGTAAACAACCGTACATTCAAAGCCCACTATGATCAACGTGGGTGAACAGAAGTATTTTGCAGTCCACGGTATTTAAGATGATGGTATTACACGGTATTTTACATGTCCAGACAGGGGGAGACCACGGTATCTAATATGAAAAGCAGTTGCATCCGCTCTGTTTACGGACAATTCCCGGTGTTCTGAAGTACCTCAGGTATCAACACTGCACCTATGGTAACAGCGCTAGGTTTTGAGGACGACTCGCGAATCGCCCATCGGCGTTTGCAGCTAAGACCACACCTCACCTCCAGACAGAGGATTTCGCGCTGCAGCTGGCTCTGGAAGTCGAGAAACTTCTCTATGGTCAGCTTCTTGTCCAGCTTCGGTCCGAAGAAGTAGGTGGACAGGGCCGAGTTGATGCCCTGCCGGCCGACGCCCCAGGTCAAGCTCAGGTCAGCGGGCCCGACAGTGGAACACCGAGCCGACCGTGTCAGGGGCCGGCTGTGGCTACCAAGCATTCCACTCCATTTAAAATATTTAAAAAAAGCATTAAAAATAGCACTGTTAACATAACTGCCGTCCCAAGGCAAACAGACTTAAGTGCTATAATAAAAATGGCTGTTACGCGTTTTTGTCTTTGGGCGGCAGATGCGCGATAACATTATGTAACATCCTTTTTAAAAAATCGACGAGAATGTCCGGAATAATGCTTGCACAGAATAGCCGGTGTCGCATCGGACATGCGGCGCTGCGTATTGAATTCACCGACAATAGAAGTGCACGTAATCACGAGGTCTCTCTGGGTGGGATTCAATCAACCTTGGCATTTGATCATCTTCAACCTCTTCCGGCGAAAGTGATCACAAACCCACACACCCAACGTTCAGAACCTCCAGGCACAATTTCAGCCCCGAACGGGCGTCCACACAGCCCAAAAGCACGCCGAGTCCAGAATGAGCGGGTCTGTTGCTTCCGCCGTCCAATTCGGCGACGTTTACAAACGTCGTTGACCCCCTCCCCCTCCCCCTTTCTCCTCTCCCCACCGGTCAGAAGAAATGACCGGCACCCGTCGCCCGCCGCTCGACGCCGGCACATCACGTCGCACGCGCTGGTCACGAGAGCTGTGCAGACAGATGCGGGACGACCATCGCCTACCTCACCGCACTCACCCCAGTCCGGCGGACGTGGCTGACGCGCTGGGCCAGTCGCTGTCGCATAGCAGCCGCCAAACCACCTACTGCCAGCTGGTGAGGAGGTGAGCCACCCTTAAGGTGCTGCTGGTGGTGAAGACCTACCCTGAAGGTGCTGCCGGCGGTGGTGACCTACCACGAGGGTGTTGCCAGCCGTGGTGTGGTGGCGACACACCCCGAAGGTGCTGCCGGTGGTGTTGTGGTGATACCTACCCTGAAGACGCTGCTGGTGACAGTGTGGTGGTGACCTACCCTGAAGGTGCTGCCGGTGGTGGTGTGGTGATACCTACCCTGAAGACGCTGCTGGTGACAGTGTGGTGGTGACCTACCCTGGAGGTGCTGCCGGTGGTGGTGTGGTGGTGACCTACCCTGAAGGTGCTGCCAGTGATGGTGTGGTGGTGACCTACCCTGAAGGTGCTGCTGCTGGTAATGGTATGGTGATGACCTACCCTGAAGGTGCTGCCGGTGGTGGTGTGGTGGTACCTACCCTGAAGACGCTGCTGGTGACAGTGTGGTGGTGACCTACCCTGAAGACGCTGCTGGTGACAGTGTGGTGGTGACCTACCCTGAAGACGCTGCTGGTGACAGTGTGGTGGTGACCTACCCTGAAGGTGCTGCCGATGGTGGTATGGTGATGACCTACCCTGAAGGTGCTGCCGGTGGTGGTGTGGTGGTGACCTACCCTGAATGTGCTGCCAGTGGTGGTATGGTGATGACCTACCCTGAAGGTGCTGCCAGTGGTGGTGTGGTGGTGACCTGCCCTGAAGGTGCTGCTGCCGGTGGTGGTGATGGTGATGACCTACCCTGAAGGTGCTGCCGGTGGTGGTGTGGTCGCGGTGGCGCGCACCCACTGACGTCTGCTGCCGGATCAGGAACGAGACCTTCTCGAACTCCTCACTGTCCACGTCACCGTCGCCGTTAAAGTCGAACATCTGGAAGGCGATCTCGAACTGGCGGCTGGACGCTGTAACCACGGCGACCGGTGCCATGGATACGGAGGCGGGAATGTGCTGGCCAGCATGAATTTAGCGTCTAGCGATTTACCCGCAGCAAACGCGACGATCCACGCACTCCATCAACTGCCACACCATCAACTGTCACACCATCAACCGCCACATCATTATCCGCCGCACTGCAAACGCAACTGACCGCCGCACCATCAACGCTGCTGGCAGTTCCTTTGCCCCGATGAGAACACCGACGGCTGTTCGCGCGCCCGTGTGATTGTTAGGCCAATCTGCTGCGCCAACACTCTACCGAAGCCACACAGAGCGCCGCTTCTGCTGCGCTCCGTTGTGGGGGGCGTGGGGGGGGGGGGGGGCGAGCCGCCGCGGTCGCGCGCCTAGCGCACCCAACGGCCGCGGGTCGACCTTGGGGGCCAGCGGTCGTCCCGGCACTGCCCGGACTCACTGGACATGATGGTCAGGATGAAGATGTAGTCGGAGAACGAGATGAGGCCGTGACTGCCGAGCTTGTAGAAGATGCTGTCCGTGTCCAGCTCCAGGTTCAGCTCCTCGGGCGAGTTCTGGCGCGCGGGACGGAGCCGGGGACAGGTCACGACCGCAGCACAGGAACAGCCAGGGCAGCATCACACAACACGGACACAGGACAACAGCAGGGAAGCGGCGACAGCATGCGGACACATCAGAGCTTGAAAGCATGGCGTAACATGGCAGCAATTCACAATAAAGCGCTACGCCATAGCACAGAAGCTGGCGCAAGCCACACGCTGGCTGCCACCAGGAATGACATCAATAACTTCGATGAACGCCTTCACAATGTCCCGGTTTTGGAAAAAAACCATAAGCCTGTTTATCTACACAAGACATTATGCAGGTTACTTCATCTGTAAGTTATCTAGCGCATGTCTGCATTAGCCTTCGTCGTCACTGGGGCTTTACGGCGCACTCAGATGCTCAGGCTCCATGGCGTCGCCTGCCTCTCACCCTGGCAGGACGGACAGGCGCCGCAGGGAAAAAAACAAAAAAACAAAAAAAAAACCGCGCCGCCGGTTTCACGGACGCGCCACGTAACCACATAACCGGTGCCCTTCTGCAGTACGCTGCCTGCACTGGTTACACAAGTGGATCGTCGGCCACATCACAAGCACCAGCCGCCCATCCCAACGGTCATTACCTTGGGGTCAAAGCGCCGGTACTGATCCAGGCCCAGACCTGAAACCAGTCAGCTCGTGAGCACGGCGACCGTCGCGGCGCGCCTGAGGACCACCACTGGTGTAGTTGGTGCCATTTATGACGCACTCGGCTGCTAAGGCTATATGGGGTTGCCTGCCTCTCACCCTGGCAGAAAGGGCGGGCACCGCGGGGAATCGAGCCCCGTACCTCTGGTTTCCCAGATGCGCAGCGGTTAACACGCACCCCGGTGGGCGACTGAATGCTCTTCGCTCGGGTGGGGTTGATTTGAACCTATCCTGAGATCTCACCAACTAAGAGAGCTAGAAACACCAAATTCACAGGATGTGTTGGCCTGTACGTGAACTTACTTGTGTCAAAATTTGGGATTCCTTGGTCATGACCTTCGGGTCACATAAGGTCAAACAATGTCAAACTATAGATTGGTGCCCAAAGTGCCCATAGAACCTAGATACTGCTCTAAGCAAAAGGTTAATGGTGCTCATTGGAGGTTGGTGACCTTTTTTGACCTTTCGCAGTTCATGGAGATCAGACTGACACAAGACTGCCTCGAGTTTTGCATTTGAATAACCGTCAAATATTACGACGGGCAAGTTCCTAAAAAAAAAAAATGTTGACCTTGGCCATTTTAGATCCCTGACCTGCCCTGACCTTTCAGAAGTTCATGGCAGATGTATGTCGCGGTTCCTGTTGTCGATAGACTCGAAATAAACACCAAAAGCTACCACATCCAGCAAGCTCCATAATAAAAAAACTGGTTGGTTTTGACCTTAGCATCTGATCCTAGGTCAATTGAATTTGTTCATCCAGTTGTTGTGCCTTACAAACTATCCCAGAGATGCATGACTTCGTCTGACACTTCATTGTTGCACCAGACCGAGCGGTTCACCAAAAATTGTCTTCGCTGAATCCACGGCCTGACTTTGACGTGCCGCAAGTCCGCGACCTTACGATGTTCACCTAAATTGTTGATACCAAATGACCTGCTATTAAATTGCCTACAACCATACCCAACTTGGCGCAGGTCTATTTTTGGTCATGCCGTTCGGAAACTATTCCGGAAAACGTTCGGGGGTCAGATTGACCCCCCCACACGAGGGTGTTCACGCCTGTGTGTTAACTACTGCACTAGGGGCATCCCGGACCACCACTGGTAGGGAGAATGGGGGGGGGGGGGGGGGCGGGGGCACAGCAATGCCCACTTCATCACGCACAATCCTCAGGTCACCCTCTGGTGGTGTGGTGTTCATTATCCCCACGCCATCGCTCAGCCGTGTGATGTTCACCATCCCCAGGTCACCCTCTGGCTGTGTGGTGTTCACCATTCCCAGGTCACCCTCTGGCTGTGTGGTGTTCACCATTCCCAGGTCACCCTCTGGCTGTGTGGTGTTCACCATTCCCAGGTCACCCTCTGGCTGTGTGGTGTTCACCATCCCCAGGTCACCCTCTGGCTGTGTGGTGTTCACCATTCCCAGGTCACCCTCTGGCTGTGTGGTGTTCACCATTCCCAGGTCACCCTCTGGCTGTGTGATGTTCACCATCCCCAGGTCACCCTCTGGCTGTGTGGTGTTCACCATTCCCAGGTCACCCTCTGGCTGTGTGGTGTTCACCATTCCCAGGTCACCCTCTGGCTGTGTGATGTTCACCATCCCCAGGTCACCCTCTGGCTGTGTGGTGTTCACCATTCCCAGGTCACCCTCTGGCTGTGTGATGTTCACCATCCCCAGGTCACCCTCTGGCTGTGTGATGTTCACCATCCCCAGGTCACCCTCTGGCTGTGTGGTGTTCACCATTCCCAGGTCACCCTCTGGCTGTGTGATGTTCACCAACCCCAGGACACCCTCTGGCTGTGTGGTGTTCACCATCCCCCGGTCACCCCCTCTGCCCTCCCGTGCTCACCCTCCGGTTGCTTGACGCCGGGTGTGATGGAGCGGAGGAAGTCCTGCGGCGTCATGTACACCTCGGAGGAGACGGTGCCGTCCGGCAGCTCCTGCATCACCCGCAGCGTCGCGAAGTAGCGGAAGATTTTGTCCGGCGTCGAGTACTGCCGGATCCGGTTCTCGTACTCGATAATCTGGCAGCAGGGTGGAGAGGACTCCATTATCTGGACATGATGCGGGAGAGGACCCCATTATCTGGACCAGAGCTGAAGCACATTCTACAGCCCAGCCACGCACTCTCAACGTGATGGGGAACGTTTTACTTTGGTTTGGAGGTCGTTGTTCACACCTCTCAAACATTTGGGCTTGCATCGTGATCTCGTGATATATCCCGAAACTTTTATACATGGATCGTCATAGTACATATACAGATAGTACATATAGATATTAGATATGGTTAGTAATAGTAATAGTACAAAATATTTCTGGATCCACCTACATGTACATACATACACACACACACACACACATATATATATATATATATATATATATATATATATATATATATATATATATATATATGCATTAACTCTGGGATTGCATTCATTTCACACTAATATGCCACATCTGCGAACAGCCTCGCTTTGCATGGTTTGTGACCCGAAACGCCTGGGGCGTGGTGACGGTGACGTCACGCCTCCACGTAGCGTGAACTGAGCCTCCTCAGACAATTAAGGAATGGTGCGAAGCGATTAAATGCCGCATCCCGACAAAACGACGGTCAGGAGCAGCCATCTAACACCACAGAGCAGAGCTGCACGAGGCGCCCCTGTGCTGCACCAGTGGTCTCAACATGGGAAAAATAACCCGAGGCTCGATGTCCGACGTTAAAGTAGAAAACTTCACTCTGCTCTTAAAAAAAAAACATTCAAATGATTTTCATGCAGCCTGCAGATTGATACTAAGTTGAGGAAATGGTAACATTAAATTGGGAGCATGTTAACATAAGCAGATGCATTGGAATGTGATCGGTTTAACAACTCTGCCAGCGTCGAAAGTTCAAAAACTCTTTAATGAAAGCCAAAAGTTTTGAGCAGCAGTCCTTGTCCCTATTTTATACCTAAAAATCAACTCCTAAAAATCTTCCAAATCCCTTACTACAGCCCCATAGTTGACCGCAACTGAGTCTATTATCATGTATATCTGTATATGCCACCGCATCTATATCCGTATAACATATTGATCTGTTACCATGATACACTGAAATTCTTCACATCCCAAAAACATTGTAACTCAGGACCCAAATATCTGGCAAAAACATCATCATAGACACTAGATAGATGGCTATCATCTGCGCGAACCTGCCGTTCAACGTGTTACCTTCCTATCTCGGAAGCCGACCTTCATCTGGCCCTTTTTGTCCTCCTCGTCCTCGTCCTCAGACTCCTCCAGCTCGTCCTCAGACTCACTGGCGTCCTTGGCCAGCACCTCCTTGGCCTTGACGGACGTCTTGCGGTTCCAGATGTCGGCGGCGCTGCGGGAGGTCATGCGACGTCACCACGTCAGCGCGCCTCCCAACGGGAAACAGGGTGCCCTTCCAACTCCCCCCCCCCCCCCCAACACACGCACACGAACACATGCACACAGAAAGTTGAAAAACAGTCTTAGATGTAGCTGGTTCAGTCCCCTCACATCCAATTCCAAGTTCCTCAGCATCTGCTTTGACCTCGTCGTTGTTGTGTGTGCGTTCTTGCAGACGTGTCCTCGAGTGCCTCTGTAAAGTGCATGTGATATTGCTGCAGATGACCAACAAGCCATATTCATATTCCCGCACGACCTTGTATGAACATCCCTGCAGGAACTTCCGCACATGCCCGTGGGAGTCCCAGCGTCTCCCTCACACGTGTTCCAATAGGAGCAGCACCCGGCGGCCGCAGCACCTGCACCACAACGCGCTGCTCAGTCCAGGCCCGCTTCGGCCGCAGCTCCGTGCTACTCACAGTTTCCAGTTGAAGAAGGAGGCCACAGCTACCAGGCAAAGCACCACCTGGTAGATCCGGTAGCCCAGGCGCGGCTTCTCGGGCGGGCCGTGGCCGAAGTTCTTGTAGTGTCGGCGCTGCGAGGCGGCGCCGCACGCGACCGGCACGCCGGCGCGCCTGTCGGCGCCAAGAGGCACGGTCACACGTGACGCGCACAGAGAGGCCGGCGCCGGGCGGCCTGGACCGGCTGGGGGTCCACAAGAAGTGAGAGCTTCTGACAGCAGGGGAGAAACTGGCCTTGTCTGACCAAGACCAGCCAGAGGTCCACGAGTAGTGAGAGCTTCTGACAGCAGGATAGAGGCTGGCCTTGTCTGACCAAGAATAGCCAGAGGTCCATGAGTAGTGATGGCTTCCAACAGGGGAAGGAGAAGATAACAGGATGTACAGGAGAAGTGCAAGCATACCTGGCCTGGCAGAGGATCTACAGGAGACAGGACAACAGGCCAGGAAGATTATAGGATTATAAAAGGCTGCCCATGTGAATTTAAGTCTATTGGCAGGTACCATCATAAAGTTGGAGCTTCAGACAGTTTATATATATATATATATATATATATATATATATATATATATATACATTTTACACAATACCTTACCTGGCATTAGGTTGCAGTTGGGCAGTCAAAGCTTGTATAGCTGGAGATCTTGATACAGCTAGCACCAGTCTGGTTAGGCCAGACATGGTGACAAAAAGACTGAAATAGACATTTTCAGTTGTTTACCACAACTGTTACAAAACACAAATGTCTGACTGTGTGCATATTAATAGCATCACAACTGTGTAGAAGTATATGACCCTCTGTTCCCTTAATCTTTGATAATATGGTTTGAAAAAAGTTGATCTAACATAAAGGTAAGCAATGACATGTGTTATTGTACAGATCATATGGTAACTGGGCTAATCACAATGATGCCAGTTAACACCCAGCACTTGCTACATCCTAATGTTCAGGTGAATCAGTATCTCCCTAGGTATATTATACATCTTCAACATACTTCCTAATGTTCTAATGTACCTGGAGTGATTCAAAAGGGTTGCCATTATTTTGTACCTGAAGCTTCTTCCTGTTTCTTTTCCATCTATATGGCATGGAATAAATGATGCCACTGAGCTTGTGGTTCTGAGTCAATGGGCACACCACAACACATCACAAGGCACACAACAGGCTTGGGCATCACTGGCATAGGCATCAACTTCCTAAAACAACCGAATCAACTGCATTTATTAGGAAATCCATACCATCTTGGAATCAACAAATGCACCAAACATTTGTGACTATTTTTGACAATGCGAGTTAGCTACACATGTCTAGCTAATAAAGCATTATTTAGCTAAAAACGCGTTTACCTCACACCTGTCACCCAACCATTTCACATTAAGCGACGTATAAAGCTGGGTACTCTAAGCGCAGGCTTCGCAGATCCCAAGTGGTCTAAATGAGTGGAATTTGGGGCACAAATCATACAAAAAGGTACCATTCCACGCAACAGACATGCATCGATTCCTCCAACACATTCACTCACAGTTATGCTCTGTAGACCAGCAATAAGTACTATTTTAAGTCATACCCCCAACCTGGCAGCTATAATCAAACGAAGAATACCTTCGCGGCGCGGCTTTCAGCTGACGATGCGACTATGTAAGGCTTATTTTACGGCGTTGATTGTATTCAGCTGATCGTGCGGTGACGTCATACAGCCATGAAATACCGTACCAAAATCAGTGCCAGTCTGATAACGGTTTCCCCAATGAACCAATTGCGCTTTTTATCAGAAGCGCAAGCAGGGGAGAGCACAGGGGCACGTGTCCCCCTTTATGTCCCGAGAGACCCGAAGGGCCCCTCGGGACCGACGACTAGGTCGTATTCAGGGGCCCCGGCCCGGCCCGTGGAGCCAGACGCGTCAGTGCCAGCAAGAGGGCCCTTTGCACCAATCGAGGTCCCTCTTAGTTGACAAAGACTTACATGTCGTTCAGATGCCATCGGTACCGCAATTTCGGTTCCGTGTCGGCATGGGCCTGAGGGCCCACTTCCCAAGCAGGGACAAAGCCGGGGTCAATGATTTACATTGGCCGTGGGCCCCAGCGTCCGTCAGGAGCCCACGGTGCCTAATAGGGGCCCTGCGTTGGCAAGGGGTCCCGAGTCGGCTAGAGACAGTGTTTGAGCAAGCCCAAAGAAGGCCTGCAGGGGCTCACCGCGACTGACGATCAACGGCTCGTTGGTGTATGACATCCGCTGACGGTCCACAAAAACGCATGTTTTTTACGTGCCATTTATCTGAGAAATGAAATAGCAAGTCAAAAACGACGGAGAGTGATTAAGGGTAAAAAACACAGAAACTGATGCATGCATAAATAACATAAGACAACCCTGTCGCACAAAAAATGATTGGCGTTTTTTGTGCCGTAGGTTTGTCTTAAGCTATGCATAGAAATATTCAGCATGGCGTTTTTTCCAGTTCGCATGTGATAGCGGCAATTGTATTTTTTTAATGAAGATTGGCACCGATACATAGGTGCTTAGATGTACCTATAGCCCAAATAGGGACGAACCGCGCTTGCATGGCCGTTTGGACGACACTGGGGAAATGCGGCTGCGACCACGTTATTGTTGGAGGAAATTTCAACTTCACTATAGGTTCAGAAAAAGACAGCTTTAATGCGTTCACGAAAACAATGTTAACGCTTGGAAGAAGTGCCTTAAAGCCTGCGATTAACACATGCTCGTGGAATCACTATAAGCCCAACGAATGGCAATTCGCAAGGACTCAATGAGCTCCGAACAAGGGTGCCATATTAGTCACCATTTTTTAAGGCTACGCCATGATGTTCATATTATTGCTGGTATCAAACAGACCACAACAAAATATCAATTAGCCTGCAAACCGGTGTGTCGCAGCGAGTTATGCAAAATCAATGGCTCATTATGAAACTGGACGTAATGATGATGAATACATAAACGTGGTAAGCCATGCATCTAAAAAGCAATAGAACACCATGTTGTGTCTGTTTATCCCCCCCCCCCCCGCCAAGTTTCTTGTCGGACATTCGTAACTATAAAAATGTCGGAGTTATCACCACTTGTGGTTTGTTTTACGAAAAACTATTAATGATGATTTGTACGGAGAATGCTAGGTTTTTATCAAACGGAAAGAAAACGAGTAAAAGAAACGGACAGGAGGCTCACTACTGCCGTGGCCAACGATGATAATTTGAGAACAGGGCTAGATCGCCTGATTTGAAAATGGAGTGAACCGGGGAGTGCTTCCTGGAGTCGGGAAAATCGCCGGAGGTGAGGCAGGTGTTGATAAACGTGGAGAAGAATAGGTTTTGTTGACCTGCGTGCTCAGATAATCTTTGGGAGTGTAATAACCGAAGTAGACCGCGTAACATTTAAAAATAAAAGCTGCACACCAAACATAAGCATAACAACTGTGCACAAAAAACAGTGAACATTTTGCACAAACCTTAACACAAAGGCTCAGCTAGCATACACGTTCGTTCACTGGAAAGAATATTGCAAATGTTTTGGCCATGCGTGCATGCCTTTGGCCGCGTACACCCCAAGTGCACTCGCCGCCCAATGTAAGGGTAGCGCTCACGATTAAATCATTCCAGATATATTTTCTAGTGGCTCACATGTGATAGTCAGTGGAGCTATACACTTTGTTGCTTGTATGTTCTGGTACTTTATGCATTGCATGCTTAAAAGTAGTCTGGCTAGTTGAATTGATATTGCACATTATGTGCTAAGGATCGTTGAACGTTTCGATTTATATCAAAACTTTTGTCTGGCAGCACAAGCTTTTCGAGAGACTCCAAAAGTTCTTTTGCCGCTAATTCACGTCTAATATCGCGAACGTATCGTTAGCTTCAGTGAATGGTTTTCCGACACGGGAGGTCGTCAGCACTGGCAACAAATTTCGAACATTGTGCTGAAAAAGACTGGGAAAAAGATGGAACACTGCACGGCGAAGGAACAATGCACGGCGATGGAACAATGCACGGCGTTTTACGCCGGCGCGGTCGGCGGTCGGCAGCCGACGGTGCCGCGGAACACCTGCGGTGGACCGACATTGCTACCCTTCATATATCAGCCACATTTCATCAATATATGCTCGAGACGCAAAAATATACACTGTTGTATGTCCTCAGAATTGAACAAGGAACATGCTTGCTTACGTTTTGCGTCGCCATAGGGCATGGTCTCAAAAGCATTATGGTGCAAAGCCGGGAAAGTGCGATTTTTGGGACGATTCGACCTTTGGCCTGCCATGAAATCAGTTATTAATCTGACAACATGAAACCTAGTACCAACTGCGACATCTCGTTGAGAACGATCCACTTGTGCTTTCTGCTCTGGTTTTCTGCTAATCTCTATCTCCATTCGTTTAAAAACGCCAGGGCGTGTCGCCCCCTCCCCCCACCCCTAACATTTCGATTTATAAAAAATGGCGAGTCATGGCGAGGATCAAAAAGGGCAAGAACAATAATAAAGCGAAGAAAACCGTGTCCCTCAATAAAAACGGAGCCATATCCGGTGATTCTTCGGGTGCGGGGCGCGGGGCGATCTTACACCATCCGGGCATTTTATCAACCCTGCGGCCCACTTGACAAGGCTCTGCCTACGTTCCTGATTTTGAAACGGTTAAAGTGACAAACGCTACCAAAAAGATTCACGGGGACTTTGTCCATGCGTTGCGAGAACTTGAGGCGCGCGATGTTGCCATCTAAGCTACTCTTGATGGACTGCAGGTACGTAAGGTTACTCAACAAGCAATCGTCATTCAAACAATGCGCTAGAAGCTCCGAAAAACGTCTAAGCGCCTGGTCTTATTACTGAAATAAATGGTTTGAAGGTCGCGGTCACAGCTACCGACCGAGGGAACCGATCGAGCCAGGTCACCCGATGACGGCCGGTCGGCTCACGGCGCGACGCCGTCCGTGATCCGCCGATGTCCAAATTTGATTTGCAGCCGATCTAGAAAAGATTGCGTCGATTTCTTTATTCGTCTCAAGGATAATGAAGACATCCTTGGTTGCATATCGGTTAAAAAAATCATGAGTTCATCTTTTCTCAGAAAAAAAAGTCAACAGTCACACTTGTTCATTATTTGTATTTAGTGGACCATAGTTGCTAATTAGACCATGCTTGAGACAAACATAGGTATTTAGGTTTCAGACACACGTTTAAAAAAAAACGCTCCGTAAGCTTTTTTGCAAGAGTATGTTGAAAAATAGGGTTCGTGACGTCTTCACGTATTTTCATCAGCTTCTAGTTTCATCGCTTTGCCATACCGTTCTAATACTTGCAGAAGCGTGCTTTGACCATGTAGATACCTCTTACATGTGTTTTCGTGATATTTGAAGGGGTCGTGTGTTATCTTCCGGTCGATAAAGATGGCAGCTGGATTTTGGATCGAGCTTCAGCCAGCATCAGGACATGACGCCCAGCATACCCAACGTTCTCTCTGCTGCCCCGAGCCTCCTTCCTCAACCATTTTTCGACCCCACAAGCGACAAGAAAAACCACTTAAGTCTACGAAGTCTTCCACAGCAACGGTGTTATCCCCAGTCACCATGTCCATAACCGGTAGTGGTGCAGCTGTATCTTACCACCTTATCATTTCTTGGTGTTCTTGAGTGTCGAGGTTTGCAGGTCGGTGATGCCAAACTGCCTCATGTGATCTGGTTTTTACATCTGGCAGCTTCTTGACTTGGTCTTGGGCTGGATCTGGTTTTGGTTCGACACACTCCGATCCACTCCTCTACCAACACCAATCACCAGGAGTGGTGATCACTCGTCAGCACGGTGATCAGCATGCGTTCTTTGATGGCCCAGAATCTGTCGCGATAAAGAACGTTTGTGAACACTCCCACAATCTCTGACAATTGTCTGGACAAAGGAGTCAGGTACAGCGAGTTTTCCATCCCGTTGCTGATGCTTCGACGACTCCACATCTGACCCAGGCAGGGCCGCACTGAGTCAGTGCTAGGAACATTACCAAGTCCCCAGAAGAGCCTTATAAATTGGTCCCTGGAAGAGTGCTGGGACATTCCCCCCCCCCCCCCCCATCAGTACCCAGCACCGTTGCCAGAGCTTTGTTGTCACGAATGCCGCATATGACGTGCTCGAGCGAACAACATGCGCTCCGTTCCACTCTCGGCGGGAGATATGTACAGATGCTTCATCAGCTCCCAGCGCCTGTGACTGCGCATCACCGCTCCCAATCACAACCAGCATGTCCGAAGGCTGTGTGACACGCTGCCAGACCGTTAACTAGATGTTACTTCGTATTCCAGACACGGCGCCGCACGAGGAGAGCGGACGGAGGAGCGGGTGGGCGCTGTGCTGCTGCCATCGGTCGCACGGCGGGCGCCGCCGGCTGTCCACCGGCGGCGGCTGGCGGCGGTGGACAGCCGGCGCCACGCTCGGGCGGTGACGGCTGTCCGGTCAGGCGGCGGCTGCCTGACCGACATCGTCCTACCACAGATGACATCAGATTCGCTGCTGGGAATGGATCACTTTTCAGGTGCAGTGCGGCTTATCGTCGACATTCTGGTTGGCAAACTCCTGCTGTTTTCCGTGGTGGCCATGTGGCTTTACCGATC